TTTATTTCAAATGTATGTTTGAATTTTACTCTTTTTTTAAAAGTAAAGGTTTTGAAAAGTCAATATGACACCTCAAATTCGTATTCGGTTTGGATACGGGTTGGGGTGTTACAATATAAATCTAAGTCATGGGATTGTTACAGTTTGTCGTTTCCCATTAGGGGTCTAATGGTTTTGGCTTTGAATATTCCAAAATTTCCTTTGGTAGATGGCCATAGTTTTGTAATTTGTATTGGATTTATGGATTTGGTAAATTTCAGGTTGCTTGGCAGATGAGAGCAGAGGAGTGGTTAAGAGTCACAACTATGGGTGTTCAAATTCGGGGGTCTTTGGGTAGTTGATTTGTAGGTTCGTGTCCCCCCATCCAGATGTTGCATGTACCCGGTAATCGGGTACCTGGTACCTTTTTTTTTATTTTCAAATTATTAATTTAAAAAATATATATACACAAATTTAAATGTTCAAAACTTCGAATTACATACTCCAACATCCGAACATAAAATTTAAAAGTTCGAAATATAAAATATAATAATTCATAATATAAATAAAACATAAAAATTCATAGCTAACTAGGGTAAATATGAATTATGATAGTCATTAACATCCGATTACTAAATTATCAAAACTTAATCCAATTATGATATTAAATTATAATAACAACCCATTTATATAATTTAATTACCTAGACTTTAATTACCTAGACTATCAAAACTTAATCCAATTATAATCTAATTAAAAATTAATCCAATTAAATTAATATCATATTTGATAGTCATAATCCAATTACTAAACTATCAAAATTTAATCCAATTATAATCCAATTACAAATAATATCAATATTTATACAAATTATCATGTTAATGGTTTAGTAATTGGATTATATATAACTAACCGGGTACCCGGAAAAACTCAATTTTGTGACTCGGGCCCGACCCGAAAAATGTCAGACTGGATACCCGACCCGGTCAGATAATTTTTTTAAAAAAAATTACCCGATTTTTTAGGTTCGGGTCGGCGAGTCGGATTAACCGAATCAGATATTTTTTCACACCCCTAGTCACAGCACCCTTTTGTCTATGTTTCCGCATAGGACAATAAAAAGGATACTTATTGCTATTAAATTGCTGATAATGCCACTCCTTGCTCCGCCCAATACCATTCCATTAGGTCAAGCCTTTGTTAATGGTGGCTAGATGGACACCATCAATTTTTATCTTTCTCATCCCAAACATTGATTTCAAATAAATTTGATTTTTGAACTTTTTGAATCATTCTAGTCATGTTTAAGTAGTTTTTTTATTTAATCATTTCAAGTATAAATCATTTTTGGGTTATTAAGTCAAGTCAATTTTGGGTTTAGATTATTTCAGGTTCAAATTATTAGTCATTATTTGAGTTTGAGATTCAAGTTTTTCAGATTTAATCATCTTGAGTATGATCATTTCCAGGGCCGGTTTTGGGCCTGTGCAGGCAGTCCAACCGTATATGGCCCAATTTTTGTAAGAGCCTCCAAATTTTTTTAAGTCTTTTGTATATATGTGTATTTAGGATGTTTGGCCCAAGAATTTTCAAGTCCAAGCCCACATTAAATAATATTTGACGGTCAATTTAAAAAAATTCTAAAAAGTAAAAACTAGATATCTGCCTCCTCTCTCCTCTGCAGAAACACCCTGCAAAGTAAAAAAAACAAAAATCTATGCGCTCTCCTCTCTTCTGCGATTGTGACTGCACTTTTCTCTTTTTCAAGGTTAGTAAATGTTTTTATTATTATTTTATTTTGTCAAGATTATTAGTTTTTTATTTTTATTTTATTAATAAAAATATAAATGATTAATTATTTATGTGTGTGATGTTTCAGTGTTTGCCTCCCCTCTGAGATTGTGACTGCACTTTTCTCTTTTTCAAGGTTAGTAAATGTTTTTATTATTATTAATTTCTTCAAGATTATTAGTTTTTATTTTTAGTTTATTAATAAAAATATAAAATAATTAATTATTTATGTATGTGTGATGTTTCAAGATTATTAGTGTTTGGCTATGCTCCCTTTTCTCTAATTTATTTTTTATATTTTAAATTATTTTAGGTGTTGTTATTTATGATTTATAATTCTATATATAATATTAGACTATTAGTTAACTAATAGTAGTGTAAAAGCCACATTTAATTAGTTAAACTCTATCAAACAAACTATAATGATTCATAACGTTATTATAAATCAAACAAAATAGTAATAGTAAAGTATTTGAGTTACACACATATCTTATGTTTGAAGTTTCTAATTGTATTTGTATTGGCTATTTATTGAACATGTTTAGAGATTATGCTTCCTAGGTTAAGAAAACATGAATCAGGACATGAAAAACATAAAAAGAGAAAAAGACTCGAAGAACTCATTAAGTCTCAGAGTGGAGCGCTAAATAAGTTTATTCAAAGAGAACCTCAAGTTTTTTCTCGAGATCAAAATGTTTTTAATGATCATGTTAATGATGTTGATGTACATGGCGAAGATGTTGATGATGCTAATAATGCTAATGTCGATGATGGCAATATTGATGGTGAATGTGCGAATGATGTTAATAATGACCATATTGATGATGCTAATGTTTATGTTAATCATGTTGATATATTTGATCCGAGACGTTGGGATGATTTTAGTTCTAACGTGATTAAGGTTATGGTATTAGAGGGTCCTAAAAGATATATGTCATTTGAGAAGGGTCCTAAAGATAAATTTTTCAGGATGATTTTCTGCCGCTTTATATACTAGAATCCTCCCAAACAATAAGAAGGTGGATAGAGAATGGATAGTATATTCCAAAGAGCTTGACATAGTTTTTTGTTTCTGTTGTAAAATATTTAGGAAAGGGCTTGCAAAAGGTCAATTAGCTAATGATGGTTTTGTAGATTGGCAATATCTTAGCACTAGACTTAAAGAGCATGAAGTTGGCCTAGAACATGTCACAAACATGGCTACTTTGCTTGATATGCATTAGAGATTAAAAAAGAATGAAACAATTGATAAAGTGGCACAAGAACAATTTGAAAAAGAGAGAGATCATTGGAAGAAAGTTCTTCAGAGAATTATTTCAATTGTAAAGTTCCTTGCTAAACATAATTTAGCTTTTCGTGGATCGAACGAGAAGTTGTATCAAAAGAGCAACGAGAACTTTTTGGGTTTAATTGAAATGTTGGAAGAGTTTGACCCAGTTTCTAAAGAGCACGTGAGACGTATCACAAGTGATAACATCCATGTTCACTATCTCGGTCATACAATCCAAAATGAGTTAATAACTTTACTTGCACATGCAATCAAATCAGATATCATAAAAAAAGTTAAGCAAGCAAAGTATTACTCAGTGATACTTGATTGTACCCCAGATTCCAGTCATCAGGAACAAATGACTTTGATATTGAGGTATGTAAATTTCTCATCCACAAGTGTCAGTATTGAGGAATCCTTTTTAGGATTTTTAAATGTTAATGATACCACTGGTCAGGGACTTTTGGATACAACACAAGATGAATTGAAGTCACTTGGTCTTGATATTGATGATATGTGTGGTCAAGGATATGACAATAGATCGAATATGAAAGGTAAACATCAGGAAGAACAAAAGAAATTTCTAGATATAAATCCTAGAGCATTTTATACTTCTTGTAGTTGTCATAGTCTTAATCTAACATTATGTGACATGGCTAACACTTGTGGAAAAGCTAGAGATTGTTTTGGAGTAATACAACGCATATACACAACATTTTCCAATTCTTCTAAAAGGTGGCAAATTTTGAAGGATAATGTTCAAGGACTGACACTTAAGTCATTGTCAACCACACGCTGGGAAAGTCGTGTTGATAGTGTCAAAGCTATTAGATTTCAGATTGTGGAAGTAAGAGAAGCTTTACTTCAACTTGCAGAGAACGATAATGATTCCAAAATAAAAAGTGAAGCTAAATCTTTAGCAACAAATGAGCTTGGCGATTTTGAGTTTTTAGTTTCGATTGTCATTTGGTTCGATATATTATACACCGTAAATTTAGTGAGCAAAAACTTACAATCCAAAGATATGCTTATTGATGTTTCTATTAAAGAAGTGAAAGGTTTGATCTCTTTATTTGAGGAGTTTAGAAACATGGGGTTCTCAAAAGCTGTCGATATTGCTAAGCAAATTGCAACTGAAATGGATGTTGATCCTGTCTTCCCTCAAAGAAGTGTAATTCGTAGGAAAAGACAATTTGACGAGAGTTCAATTAATCAAGATGCTTCTTTTTCTGCAGAGGAATCATTTAAAGTCGACTACTTCTTGTACATTGTTGATCATGCAATTGCTTCTCTTACAACAAGGTCTGAACAATACAAAGAGTACGAGAAAAATTTTGGTTTTGTGTTCTCTTGTGACATGTTGAAGTTCTTTGATGACAACCACCTTAAGTCATATTGTAGTCATCTTGAAGATGCACTCAAGAAAAACGGACGATCAGTTATTGATGCAAATGAACTCTATGTGGAGCTAAGGTTACTTAACAATTTCTTGCCAGCTGAAAATATGAAACCTACTGATGTTTTAAAATTTATGAAAAAGGTTGATTGTTTCCCTAATGCACTAATTGCATTTAGAGTACTATTGACTATTACAGTAACGGTGACATCTGCAAAAAGAAGTTTTTCAAAACTGAAGTTATTGAAGTCTTACTTGCGGTCCACAATGTCACAAGAGAGACTTAATGGATTGGCATTGATATCTATTGAAAACGATCTATTGGAGAGTCTTGATTATAAAGAGCTAGTCAATAACTTTGCTTCCAAAAATGCTAGGAGAACGAATTTATTTAGAGAATAGCTTACTTTGTATTTCACTTTATTACATGAAGATATTTTTTACCACTATTTAAAGTTTTCTTATAGTTATAATAAATTTTGAAATATTAGTGAACTTCTTTATATATCTAATATTTTAGTTTTAATAGAACTATTTTACTGTTATGCATAGGGCCACCAAAATTTACAAGACGGCCCTGTCCAGTTGTTGTTGCCAGAGCTCATTCTGCCAATGTTACCAGTGAAGTAAACAACACTGAAATTCGAACTTCTGATATTTTTATTACAAGTGACTTTATGAATCAAATAAATGAAACACCTTTCGATCTCGGACCTTGTTGACAGAGCGTTCGAGTTCCTGTTCAAGATGAACTAGCTGTTCATATGGAATAGAGGTCATGTCCTCACCAGTGTAGCGTCTCATGCTTAGTTCAAGACTACGGGTTTCTTTCCTCAACACAACCAATTCATTGTACATATATATATACACACATATGTTGTATATAATCAAAGGGTAGGCCATAAAAAAGTTTCCAATTAATGAAATCTTGTTCTTACCCGATTGTCATGCTCAGGAATGCGAGTCCCAGTGACCTTCTGGTACCTTTCTATGATGTGCTCCATTCTGCTAATATATAGGCCGTGAAACTTAACCATTAGAAAAAAGTTCTCTTTGAAAGTTAGAAAACCTAGGCAGCTAAATTTTCAGAACTTTCATGCATTTATAGGCAAGGTTGAGAGGGTAAACTAATATCAACTGATCATGCAAATAGGGAAGGATGCAAAATTTAATGTTAGAGACGAATCCTAAATTTCTAAGGGACAAATACAAATTATCAATAAAACATATAAAGAAAATATTTAAACTATATATTAAGTGGATCCGACTGCCTCTTCTATCCATCCCAGCATGCAAACGCATCCTACAGAAGGATGAAATGAAAAAGAAAATGGGGAAGAAGAGGAGAGTGGAGACCTATAGGGTTCAGTACAGTATTGGCACATCTTGCCGGTGCTGGAGAAGATGATGAGGCCAATCTGAGCATCGCATAGCACATAGAGCTCGTGTGCCTTCTTCAAAAGACCAGCTCGGCGCTTGCAAAACGTGACTTGATGAGTCGTCTGGTTCTCGATCCTTTCCGCGGCCCATAATCACCCAACCACGCCTTAAAAACAACTTTTATCTATCAATCTCCAGTTAAGGAAAGACTGAAAAAAGGTGCGTGCGAGTAACAGAATTTTGAAAGTAACTATAATAATGAGAGAAAAAAAAAGGAGAAAGAAGGGTTTTGAAAATAGAAGACAACTATAATAATGAAGTTCAAATATGGGGAAAGTAGACACAAAGAAATGGGATGATAAAATGGAAACTAAAAGCTTCTGCAACCCTAAAAATAACGACTTTGTTTATAGTTTTGTAGTTCATAAAAAAACAGGAATGGAAGATATACAGATAGAAAGAAAGAAAGAAAAGAAATTTAGAAAGAGAGAGAGAGAGAGATGACGGCAAGTTTACCTATTCCTTGCTCGTAAAAACCGAATCGTGTAGGAACAAGGCAATGTTTGCTACTTCCCCTAATTAGACTCATATATATATTCTATCTAAAAATATTATATATTTTACATAAAATTCTAACATTTTAATATTTAGTTATAGAGAAAATAACCTCAGTGACCGAAAATGTCTTATAATATACGATTTTAACTAGTTTTTTTTGGATTTGCCAAAATGACCAACAAATTCGCAACGCGAACTCCAATTTCGCAACCCAGTTTCCAATTTCGTAATGCGAATTTGTAAATCGCAACATAGAAGTCAAATTCGCAACACAGAAGTCAAATTTGCAATGCCATAGTCAAATTCGCAACACAAAAGTCAAATTCGCAACGCGATAGTCAAATTCGCAACGCGAAACACAATATTAATTTCACAACACAAATGTAAACAATATTATCGTAAATCATAACCTAAAACCCTAAATTAGAACTCAGCCCCATCTCCATCTCTCACTCTCTACGGCGACATCCGTCCCCATCTCCGATGAAATCCGTCCCCATCTCCGACGAAATTCGTCTATCTCCATCTCTCAGAGCAACCCTCACAACCATTCACGGTCAGAAATGGAAAATCAACCACCGAGGGTTAGTTTTTTAATCTCTTATTTTTATTTTGAAATTTTTGTATTATTATTAGATTTTTCTTATATTGATGATAAATTTTCTGGTAAATTCAATATATATAAAGATTAACCATTTCAATGAGATTGCTTAGTAAATTCATTCGGTTGTTGTCAATACTGCTAAACTGTTTAGTCTTTAACCTTGTGAAGTTAGTATTTGTCTTTGTTTTGTCTTTTTGTTGAAGAAATGCAATTCATTCAAGTTTCAATTTGCAGAAGAATAGTTTTTGAAACTTAAATTCGCAACACGAAAATGAAAATCGCAACACCAAAATCGCAATGCGAAAATGAAAATCGCAACGTGATTTTAGTTTCGCGTTGTGATTTTCATTTTCGCGTTGCAATTTTCTCGTTGCGATTTTCATTTTCGCGTTGCGAATTTAAGTTTCAGAAGCTACTCTTATTCTGCAAATTGAAACTTGAATGAATTACATTACTTCAACAAAAAGACAAAACAAAGACAAATACTAACTTCACAGTGTTGCTAATTTAAGTTTCAAGAATAAACTACTACTCTTTATGTTGTCCTTGAACCTGCACTAAACCTATATGTTGTCCTTTTAAATGTTTATATAAGTGCTTACTTCTGGAATGTCATTTGATGCATTTTGTGAACTATGATGGAATAATGACAGCATGTGAATATCGTGCTAGTTTGAAACATATTTGGCTTTGTTTTCACTGTTTAATATCTTGTCTGTTTATAGTGCATAATTTGTAGTTTTTGTAGAAATTTTTTTCGGCTGCATTGACCTTAAGGAATAAATTAAGCATAGCCTCTAAAATTGCGTTGACGCTTACACCTCTACAAAGAAAATTGTTTGAGGATACTTGCTTCGGGCCATGGCTGAAAGTACAACATACGGGTGGAGATGCTATGTTGACACATTTGTTTCTTCAGACCATGACTAACGATCTACCCGAGAGGATACAACGTGATGATGACGAGATATGATTTCATTTTCCTCCGGCACCGGCGTATACTTGTTTTGGGCGGGAGGAGTTTTTGCTTAATCACTGGTCTACGCTTCGGACATGATGAAATAACCCGATACACTAGTCATATCTCCCGCCCATCATGGTTATCTCGGGTTTTTCCTGAGCTGGCAAAGTCGAAGCCGAGTTTACACGTCGACGACTTGAAGAGATTATTTGTTAAAGATGGTTTTACACGGATGAATGATCTTGATATTGTCCGAGTATGCCATTTATTACTTTTACATGCCAGCTTTTTAGGCAAAGAGGGCAGATAACCTATCTCTGAGGACCTAATATTATTGGTAGAGGACCTAAATACATGGAATCTGTTTCTGTGGGGTTCATATCTATGGAAAGCTACTTGGAAGAAGTTGTCGTCTGTATTTGAGGACCGAAAAAGTTTGCGGGGTGATGGTTCTAAATACACTTTGATAGGCTTTACTTGGGCTTTTAAGGTAAGAATTTCTATATAATGTTTCCAAAATTATAATTAATTATTTAACAATTACTAATGTTTGTGTATTATATTGTTTTGTAGATTTGGATATTTGAGGTTTTCCCCAGTATGCGGACATATGCGATAAAAAGATCAAATGATATTCCTAGGGCTATTACCTTGAAGAGGATCTGCATGTTGGATTGGGAAGAGTTACTCCCATATACGACGATGAATGATATAAGTTAACACACAAATAATACCATATATAAACAAGTTATTACTAGTACAAGTTTAACTTTGTTTGAGTTTTTATATTGTTAGGAGGCCAACTATCCATTACAGAGGCTGACACCCACAGAGGCTGAGATTGCCACTGATTGGTGGCAAGCTAGTAAGCGGTTTTTTTATGGGACGGAATGATGAGCACCTCCCACTTCGAGAGCCATCACCTGATCGGGTCGATTCTACAGTTCGACACCCGGAGCCATCACCTGATCGAGCCTCTTCTCCACCTACATCATCACCTATTCCATCACATCGTCGAGTCTCTTATCCACCATTACCTCATGATAGACAACCGACAAAGAGGCCACGACATTTATCTCCCTTTTCTCCACCTCCACGAGATGAGTTAAGGGAGTTACGTGATGAGGTCGGTACTTTGCGTCATGAGGTCGGTACTTTACGTGAAGATAATGGTGCATGGCGTGATGAGATTCGGTCTTTACGTGGTGAGGTGGATTTTTTACGTGATGACAATGGTGTGCTACGTGGTGAGGTATCTACTTTACGTGATGATGTTGCCGCTCTACGCGAGATTATTTCATCGTTACAGAATGAGGTTAATACTCTACGCAATGAGGTAAATTTGTTTAATACTATACTAAAAATGAAAATAACCTTTTTTTCGGTATTATTTATTTATTTATTTACTGATTTATGTATTAATTTATTTTCAACGGCCCGATAAGGTAGATGTTTTACGTCGGGTTTTTCTTGCATGACGGGGTTCACGCATCAGACGTCGTGCATGTGCCATTACGTCTCCATTTACCCCACTAGTGCCAAGACTCCATAAGAAGAAGCCCGATGCACCTATCATCATTCAAGAGGCGCCTCCTATCGTTCAAGAGGCCCCTCTCATCATCGAAGAAGCCCCTCCCACTGTTCAAGAGGCCCCTGTCATCGTTCAAGAGGTCTCGTCTGCCGTTCAAGAGCCCGATTCACATGGGGTCATATATCGACATATTGATAAACCCCCTCCCGTGCCCAATATGATGGATGCGAGTTGGCTTTCGTATGTGTCACCGGCCATTACCATTCCTCAGTAGGAGAGGGAAACACTACCGGATATAATTACGGATAATACCCTTTGGGCTAAGACCACAGTTGATTTTTATCTACATGAGCGGAGCAAGGGGTGTTATTTTGACCTATTCCAACTCGACGATGTTATTCATTTGTTTCTTGATCAGTCTTGGTGGGGTATTTTATTAGGGGTTGAAGATAATGGCTATCTCGAAAGGGTGGTAAGTCTTATATTCTTCTTATATTGCGTTTTGATTAAATTTTTTTAAATTATTAATATATTCACTAATATATGTATTTTTTTTATAAAATAGTATATTGATGCGTGGATGTCACGTCTTCTAATAATAAGGAAATTGAGGAAAATAAGAAATACTCGATGGACTATTATGCCGACGTCTTTTCACGTAGCTCACTTGAAGGATCCGAGAGATGCTTCATATACGTTGGGTAATGGAAAAGCTAAACTTTATCCTGCGTGGTGGGAGGTCAATAAGGTTAGTATTTATTTTTTGAATATTTTAAATGTTTTTATAAAATTTATTTGATGTGCGCAATTATTTATGATTGCATGTGTTTATCCCTATTTTGGAACGTCGTCATTGGTTTCTCGTCGAGCTTCAGCTCCCATCCCTGAAGACAATGGTATATGATAGCATGTTGAATTACATACCATTGTCTGATTTGAGAGATATTATTTGTAAGGGATTGAGCGCTCATTTGGCGAAATACTTGGACGCGATTGATTATTGGACTAATTCTAGAAACAAGAAGCCAAAAAAGTTCAAAGTTACAATGATCAGAGACGATACCACGCCACAATAAACGGAGGGAGCCAGAGGGGATTGTGGTCCTCTTGTATGCTTGTGCTTGGAGCGTTTGACGACAAGAAGTAAACACCTTCTACCTCCCACAGATAGAGATAGAGGTGCAGTAGGCTTATGGTTTCGGCATTTTATGGCTCGAGCGATATATGCGAGACGTTGCCTACCTGCAGCCGCGTGCTGAAAGTTTGCATAAATAATTGGTAAGTTTGAGCAAGTGTTGTTAACATATATACTCTTTGTTGGTTTGAAAATGTTTGGTCAAGTACCTAGATTTCAATAATTTGTTGTTTGTTGGTTTTAGATGTGTAGAAAGTGTTGGTTTTAGATGTGTAGAAAGTGTTGTTTGGCAAATGTTTGGTTTCTGCAGGTTATTCTTGACGTGAGCTACGTGAAATTGATGTATTTGTGCATAAACAACAGTCTGGGGTACACTTTTTTTGCTTGTTTAATTGAATTTTACATTGAAAGTTGATTTGTTTAATTGATGAAGAAATAAGAATTATTTTTTTCTTGTTTAATTGATTTGTAAAAGTTGATTTGTTTAGTTTGATGTGTAAATAAGAATTATTTTTTTGCTTGTTTAATTGATTTGTAAAAGTTAATTTGTTGTTTTAAATTCAATCTGCATTATATTGAATGCAAAAAAGACCTGTTGAAGGTAAATTCGCAACGCGAAAGTCAAATTCGCAACGCGAAAGGTAAATTCGCAACGAGAAATAAGCGTTGCGATAGTCAAATTTGCAACGCGAAATAAGCGTTGAGAAAGTCATATTCGTAACGCGAAAGTCAAATTCGCGTTGTGATTTTCGGTTTGCAATTTTGCGTTGCGAATTTGACTATCGCAACGCTTATTTCGC